CCGGCTGGAACAGAATGTCTTGCAAATGATTTTCAAAGATTAGCCGCTGCTTTGCATCTATTTTTCACGTTGAACAGCAGGAACAAATATATCATAAATCAAGCTTTTCGAAATAAAAGGAAAGTCATTGTGTCAGGCTCCCTACCCGGCCTCACCCAACGGACTAGGTAACCTGAGCAGGTTGCAGGTTAAGTTTCATAAACAGAAATAAACTGAAAGAATGAATTCTAGGAAAAACCAACCAACCACTTCACTCATAGTTAATTAATAATCATAATTAAATACCTAGAATTCACATCAGGGCTTATCTCTAAAATCCCAAAGCCTTTCACAAAGATGTAGGTCTGGTCTACCCTGCCTTATGTCTCTATACATACATACATATGTTATCCACTTAACAGTTACAATCCCTCCCCTACCTCCTGGAAGCTAAGGTTCAGAGTAGGCAGTTTGTCTCAAACCCTCTATTCTGATTCTGCTCTTAGAACTCTTAGGGAGAAGAGGTCAAACCTCTTCTCCAGTCAATCCCTGCAGTACTTAGATGCCCACAATACAAAGAGATTTTTCAGGGAATCTGGCAAAAGGCATCTCTGGGCTGAGAAGCAAGGTGAACATTCTTAACCTTCAGGGCCAGAATTTAAACTTGTACCATGGAGGCTGGACTATGCATGGTGCATTAATTTTTTTTAATTAATTTACTCTGAAAGCCACAGCATGGATTTTTTTTTTTAGAGTTTTTTTAAAGATGAAAATACAAAACACAGAGAGGTGAGAGACTTGTTCAAGGTCACGCTGCAAGGCAGGAACAAAGCCAAATGGTTGGCCTGACTCCCAACCTTGGCATTCAAGCTACAAGCCACGCTGGTGCAGAATGGTACCAGTCTAAACCCACAGCTGTTGCTGCCGACAAGGACTGCCATTGTTCCCATGGCAACCGAGGTAACACACTAAAAGCCAGAAAAGTTAGATGTTTAAAGATGGGTGTGCCTACTGATTTTTCAAGGATGTGTCCTTGACTGATTCTTGACAATTAAGAACCTTTATGCCTCTTTAAAAGAAAAAAAAGTGCTTGGCTTTCATTGACAAAGTAAAGGCTCAGAAATCTTCTGGGGTTCCTTATTGCCTGTGGGATAAAATACAAACTCCTTAGTCTGCAGTTGCAAGGAATTTCACAACTGACTTCAACCTATCTTCCTATGCTCATTTCACATTTCTTCCTTTTCCTCTTTCTACGTTCTTGCCAAACTGGCCCACTTGCTATTCCCAGAACTTAAAATTATATTTCCAACTTCCATGAATTTTCAGAAACGGTCCCCCTGTGCCTAAAAACACTCCTTCCTTGTCTCCACCTCTCAGAATCCTTCTTTTTTTCAAGATTTGGTTTGAGTGCCACTTCCTCAATGAAGCCCTCTCTGATACCCCTTAGTTGTTAGAGTTTTCTCAACTCTCCCCACCCCCTCCCCCCATAGAAATGTAGACAAAGACTATAGAGTCAGATGACCAATGATCTGACAACTTAGTACTTACATGACCTTAGGCAAGTACTCCCTAGCCCTGTTCCCATATTTATAAAATGAAGAAACTGGACTGGATGACTGCTAAGGTTACATTCATTTCTGTATCTGTGATACTTAAGGTAGAGACTGTTTCCCCCCCCTATTTTGTCTTTGTATTTATGTCTTGCATACTTTATAATTATCTTAATTGAATTGAATTAAAACTATGTTGATCGGGGGAGGTTAGAGGAGCAAGAGACACATTGGTTAATTTATGACAAGAGCAGGAAACTGGGACAATTCTGGGACAATACAGGACTAGGGAGAGGGCAGGGTCTTAAAGGAAAGGAAGAACATCAGGAACCCAGTCTGCCACCATGATCAGATACCAGAAACTAAGGCAGATATTCATCCCATAAACATGAATTAAATTTAGGTGAAGCGTTGAACTTTTCAGCACAATATGATATCAAATATGCTCTCTGAAACCCTATTAAGAGTCAGCAAAAGGTGTGTGATGTTCCGAGGTATGACTCTGCTTTTTTAGGATCTTGCATTGTTTCTGAGTCTCTGATTAGATGGTCAGTCTCAAAGGGCAAAGATGCCAGTGGGTCAGTGTCATCTTGGAAAGGAGGGCAAGTGGTGTTACTGTGAGTTCTTTTGAGGATGTTTAATATCTTCATTAATGACCAATTTCCCTTTGTAACCATTTTAATTAAAGAGTTCCAATGGAATGACTGCTCCATTTTGTCAAAAATCATATTTCATGGAACCAATTAATGACATTAGGTAGGTTATGCCTTGTATTAGAACAGGATGTTTCAACCACAAACACTCCTATCTGCTTGCTGTTCAGAGTTTTCCCAGATATAGGCTGACTGCTACTCCACAACAAAGCAGCCCCAAGGCACTGGTATAAAGCTATAGAAGGTTATAAACAAGTTCCTAAACTTGACATCTGTGGTCACATTCTGCCCATAACCCACCATTCCTACCCTGCAGCATATCAGTATATAAGACAGCACAAAGGAGTTCCCAGTGCTGGTGATCCCGACTGACCCTTTCCTAACTTCAGTGAGGAAGTTGTCACAGACTCTCTGTGTGAATCCAGAACAAAGAGGCAAATTTCTGGACTTAGCACAGCTTACTTACAGTGTCCAGCATTTAACACAATCCAGAAGTCGCGTTATATGTTTTCCTTTATGTCAATAACTCAGGCACTTGTCCAGGGGAAATAATTCTGGTTTTCTAATGTCTCTGGGAGAGGATGACTCCTTGATTGGCTTCTTCTGAGTTATGTCTGTGAGTGGCAGGAGAGATTTGGTCAGCTAGTGCTAGCTAGTGAGGTTATTAGGGTTAGCCACTCTCATGTTCTGAGGCTGAGGAGAACTTGCTCCTGAGTAGCATGGGCAGGCTTGGGTCTGAAAATGAGGTCCTGAGTCTTCCTCCCACCTCCACCTTCTTTCCTTGTACCTCCGCCCCACTCCCACTCCACTCTCCTGTGTCTAATAGCTGGTGAGAGCTCCAGGAAAGAGGCACACTCAGACAGTCCCTTAGTATGCTGCCATCACTTTGAAAACTCAGTTGAATGTATTGAGAAAATAAGAGTCCCAGAAGTCACATGGTGGGCATTAATTGGAAAGAAAAGGGGTTATTTCTTCAGAACTGACCACTTAGATCTTATTTCTATTACATAATAAGATATTCTTTATTATTGATAGGTCACAGTTCTGCCCTCCTTTGGCTATGGCTGCAAGTGGCTGGTAAGCAAAATAGGAGACAGAAATAGGAATTAAGAAGGGTGAATTCCAGGAAAAAATTATAGACAACTTATACCAAGAACGTCCTCAGGAGGCAGCTACAGCATTTCCTAATGGTTGAGGGGAAAGTACGACCATCACTTTGTGACAACTGCACTTAAGGAATTAATGGATTGCTGCAAAGGTTTGATAGACATTGTTTTATGAAGATGAGGTAAGTGAGGCCCAGATGAAATAACTCGGGCGAGTGAGCATAGGCCAAGGTTACTAAATGAATCAACGGCCAATCCTGGAATAGAAAAGTACTTGTTCTAATTCCTTAGTCCAAGACCTTGGACATTTCTATAAAAGGAAGCTTTCCACAGATATGTGTTCCTTGCCTAGACCACCCAAGAAAATGAAATTATCTACATTTCTGGAAAGAGAAAATAAGATTCCCTGGACTTTTTTAATCAGTGGGTCTGCAATCCTTCAATGAAGACAATGAAATTACTCCACCCTGTTCCTTGGTTTAATGAGAAGTAACTTCTCTCAGCCGCCAAAGAGAACTAGGTTATTGATCTCTTCAGGATTTCTCTTATTTTACTTATATGTGTCTTGTAAATATGTGTCTATGTAAATACTCATGATTAGTGAGCATATCAGCAACTGAACCCAAGATGGCACTTATGTTAATTTATCTGTCCCTATTTAGTGCCTTCTAATACATATAAAGAAGACTTTTTAAAATTAGCTTTTCAAATGAAAAAAATTAAGAGAAAAGCAATGTTTTACTTTATTGAAGTTAATAAATAGCATTTGTAGTGTTATTTCTACATGAAGTTAAACGTCAAAAGTTGGGTTGTTGGGGGTTTTTTTAATTATTAAGTTGAGACCAGAAATGTAAGCACAAGTACAATTTTTTAATTAGCTGGTAACTAACAGACATTAAGCTATTCACAGAATTTAACTATTGCAGACACTAACCTGTAATCCGGGGTATGCTTGAGGCAGCTAGAATTTTCAGTGGAAGCACTGACACTTTGGAAATCAACAAATACTAAAAACTGGAGCTTGATTTATCATTTTGTTGATTGTCTAGATTAAATAAAGTGATGGAAAATGTAAATAATGCAGATTAAAATTGAGCTGATTTTACACACTGCAAAGTTAGGATACATACCTTCTACTGAGTCTTTACTATTTCTCAGTAATGATTCAGCTCTACAATATACTTTTCATCTCACTCTCTATAGATTCTTTTCTAAGCCTCCTATTTTTCCCCCAAAATCCACCTCTTTCCCCCCTACAGCAGATGACTTAATCTCTACTTCCCAGAGAAGGTTAACATGAGCTTCCTCTGTTCATTGTCTTTCAATGGATATTCCTCACAACTTTTCAGCATCATTCACTTCTTCCTTCGCTCTGCTCTGATCATAGAAAAACAATAATGACCAGCATTTGGATGGAGCTTTAAGGTTTGCAAAACTCCTTTCCCCAGTATTTTTCCAGTTCTGGAAACATAATCAAATTAGCACTGCCATTGCTACTAGAAAGGATGTATTGGTCTATTTTCCTGTAGTTCTCCTTGCCATTTCTATAAGTTTCCAAACCATTATACCACTCCCTGACCACACCATTGCCCTAGTTATGCTGTCTACCCTCATTAGAATATAAATGCCTTTAGAAAAGGAATTGCTTTGGATTTTGTATTTGTTTCCTCAGTGCTTAAAATAGCACTTAATAAATGCTTTTCCTTTCTTTCATTTATTCATTCATCTGAGCCTCACAACAACCTGGGAGGTAAGTACTTTTTTAAAATCAATTTTATTTTATTTTCCAAAAAGTCCACTTTATCTCCCTCTCACCCATCCATTGAAAAAAAGCCAGAAAAACAAGACTCCTATTACAAACATGTAGAATTAAGCAAAACAAATTCCTGTATTTGCCATTTCCAAATACACATACATACACATGTCTTATTCTCAACTCTGAGTTCACTGTCTCTCTATCAGGAGATGGGTGGCATGTTTTATCATGAGACCTCGGGAATTAGGGTTGATTATTTTGTTGATCAGAATTCTTGGATCTTTCAAATTTATTTGTCTTTATAACATTGCTGTCCTTGTATAGATTGTTCTCCAGGTTCTATTCACTTCATTCTGTATCAGTTCCCACAAATCTTCCTAAATTTCTAAGAGGTAGATATTTCAGGTATTATTATCCCCATTTTACTTATAAGAAACTGAGGCTGAGTTTAGTTAAGTGTCTCACAGCAATAAGCATCAGAAGAAGAATTTGAACCCAAGTCTTACTGATGCCAAATACAGTACTCTGGCCACTAAATTTTTTGTCTCTTTTGGCTAGGTATCTCTTTTCCTTATTAAAGCTAATCCCATTATTTTAACCCTTGATCCCCCTTTCCTTCTCCCTTCTCCAGGACTGCCAGCCATTCTGACCTGATACCAACCCTGTCCTGTCTGCTACTAGTACCAAGATAGTATTATTGCTACCAACATGTATTTCCTGCTTCCTCACTATGTCCAAGATCAGATACTGGATCTAGTCCTAGCAAATCTTAACTGCACAGGCAATATAAATTTACTCTTACAGCCTGAGATCCATGTCCTGAGAGAATTTGTAGTCACTATGAGAAAATGGGGATTCAGTTGATTAGTTACTTTTCCCACCAATAGACCTGAATTGTTGTCGTTATTGTTTTAAATGACCTCCTTGTCAGTCTCCTTTGCCAGTTCTTCAACTATGTTGTACCCATTAATCTTGGGTATTCCCTAAGGCTCTTTCCTGGGCCCCCTTTTTCTTTTCAATCTATGTTATCTCACTTGGTGATCTCATCAGCTCTCATGAGTTCAATTATCATCTCCTTGCAGATGATTCCCAGACCTACATCTCCAACCCTAGTCTCTCTACAGTTAATGAGCTTGTAGCTCATGCACCATGCCCCGCCAACTGCCTCTAGGTGATGTAGAGAGCACCACCATCCTCCCAGTCATGGAGGCCAGAAACCTCCATTTCAACTTCAACTCCTAACTTTCACTCACCCCACATCTAACCTATTACCAAAGTTGGTCATTTCTACCTTAACCACATTTCTCTGATACATCCCCTTCTTTCTGGTCATATATCTACAACCCTAATTCAGGCCCTTGACACCTCTCTTATACTACTACAATAGGCTAATTTGTCTTTCTGACTCAAGTGAGTCTTCTCATTCCAATCCTTCTTTTACACCTTGACAAGATTATTTTTGTCTAATTATGTCGCATTGTGTCTAATTATGTCGCATTCTTCCCCACTTCAGTGAGCCCCAGTGGCTGTATTTTTCATTTAGAGCGCTTCCTAATTTGGCTCCTTCCCATCTTTCTAGTCTTACGCCTTACTCTCCTAGGCTCTAACTATACTTGTAGTTCTCCTGTCTCATTGTCTTGGTACTAGCTGTCTCCCATGCCTGGAATACTCTGCCCCTCTTACCTCTTTCTCTTAATTTCCCTAGCATCCTTCAAGACAGTCAAAATCCTACCTTTTTCAGTAAACCTTTCCAAGTTATACACACATATACCCCACAATGCCTTCCTTTTTCAGATTACTTTCATTTATTTTGTATATATCTTGTGCAGACTTAATTATTTATATGACGTGTTCCATAATATGTCCCCCATTAGAATGTATACTCCATGAGGGCAGGAACTGTTGTTGTTGTTGTTGTTGTTGTTGTTGTTGCTGTTGTTGTTGTTGTTTTCACCTCTCTTTGTATCTCCATTGCCTAGCACAGTGCCAGGCTCATAATAAGCACTTAGTAAATGGAAGTTGTCTCACTTACTGGCCATTGTTACTCTTAATGGCATCACCATCTAGGAACTGATATCCATTTAAAGAACAATTAATTCCAATACTATATAAATAATTTGGAAAAATAGGCAGAGAAGGAGTCCTAACAAATTCCTTTTATGACACAAACATGGTGCTGATATCTAAACCAGGAAGAACAAAAACCAATAAAGAAAACTACAGACCAATTTCTGTTTCTTTCTTTCTTTTTTTTTTTTTGGCTAGGCAATGGGGTTAAGTGACCACCCAGGGTCACACAGCTAGTAAGTGTTATGTGTCTGAGGCTGGATTTGAACTCAGGTCCTCCTGAATCCTCCTGAATCCTGGCTCTATATAGACCAATTTCTCTAGTGAATATTGATACAAATCTGTTCATTGGGAAGGCTTGATTTTTTTTTTATTTCTAAAGTCTCTTCCAAATTTGGTGGTTCTTTAAAGTCAGGAATTTTGAGTCTGAGTTCATTCTAGATCAGAGGGGTTTAGCCATTCAGCAGCATTGTCCCTCCCCACCCTCCACCCTAAGGTGTACATTTCTCCTTACTCTGGATTCACAACGCACTTACTGCACTGAGTGGCATAGTGGATAGATTTCTGGTCCTTGAATCAAGAAAGACTAAATTTAAACCCCACCTTAGACACTTAGTAGTTATGTGACCCTGGGCAGATCACTTACCTTTTTTAGCCTCAATTTCCTTATCGGTAAAGTGGGGATAATAATAGCACTCCTTACTAGCTGTGTGCCCCTGGGCAAGTCACTTAACCCCATTACCTAACCAAATTTTAAAAAATAATAATAGCACTTACTTGCCAGGTTTGTTGTAAGGATTAAATGAGATAATATTTGTAAACCACTTTTCCAACTTTAAAGCACTATAGAAATGCTAGCAGTTATTAATAGCTATTATTAGTATCTATTAGCTATTATTAATATTATTAGCACCTAATAGTTATTAATAGCTATTTCAGTACTAATTATAATTAGTATTATGAAAACTTGATTTTATTCATCTCATAGAATTCTATAGCTGCAAAGTATTTTAGTGATTACCTTTTGTTTATGAGTTTCAAGTTGTTATATGTATATGAGTTTTGCCTCCCCCATTTTAAAAGTTCACTGACAGCAAGGACACTTTCTTCTACTTCTCTACTATCTCTTATAGCACCCAACAGAGTTGGGCACATTGCAGGCCCTCATTTATTACCTGTGAATTAGTTGGTTGAATCTAAAAAGTCAACGTTAAGAGGAGTGGCACTTGGAGGTACCTAAAATACTATTATAAACCATCTTTGCCAACTCTATCTCCTAACAAGTGGTCACACGCAATGGGTAAGATGTGGCAGGAAACAAGAAAATAAAAGTGGGGGGTCTGGCATGCCAGAAATGTGAGAGAAAAAACTAGGACCCCCAGATTCCAATCCCATTCATGAGTCACCATATCAATCAATAAGTATTTATCAAGTGTTCTTGCCTTTTGGTAGGTGGTATTAGGAGACACAGGAGGATTATAAGACATTGCCATTTATAGTACCCTTCTGACTACAGTCTCCACTGGAACCCTCTGAAACACGTAGCAATATGGTACTGGGCCATGGGGACTCAGAAAGGCAGGATAGTGTAACAACTAAAGAGCCAGCCTCCAAGCCAGATATGCCTGAGTTCAAGTCTTGACTCTCTAATGCATGCTGGCTGTGACCCTGGGCAAGACAATTAACCTCTCAGTGCTCTAGGCCACTCTCTAAGATTTTAAGTTGCAGAGAAGTTGCTGACATGCACTGGTAAAATGAGTTTCTTCATCAGGGAGTTCCCTTTACTAATGAAGTCACAGGCCCAGTCTGTATCACTATAGGGATGCAGCAGCTTTGTTTGCATGGAAAGAAAAAAAGAAATACATCAGAATTCTCCCCCAGAATCAGATCATAGGTATTGAAAACATAGTTCCAGCTTTACCTCTCTAGGGATTGAGGGTCAGAGATGAGGTCACTGACAGGACAGTGGAATGAGCTATTGCTCTTTCTTACCCCATGGCCAAACCTAGGAAGAAACAAAGGGTTTTTGTTTAAACAAGATAACCTTCCACCTGCTTTGATGCTAACCCATATGTACAAAACAAACTTTCCTTAGAAGTGGGAGGTCCTGCACAACCTGGATTGTATAGAGCAGAACAAAGTGACCAGGTTTAAGATGAAGTATTTAAAATTTTTGTCTAGTTTATGGGCCTCTATACTCCCTATCTCACTCCACCTCCTCCCACCACCCCCATGCACAAACCCATACACATGTACACCAAGGAATGGGTGTTTGGGGTGTTCAAGAAGGACTAGCAACTCTGATGTGAGAGCTTGCTGAGACCTTTTCAGGGCTACTCATCCACCTTTAGTGTCTACCTTCACCCAACTCTCACCAGTGGCTCCAAGAAGCTGTAGCATGTGTGGCAGCAACACCCCAGTAAAACCATCTTTACAGACAGACCAAACCAGGTCAAGGGTAACCAATGGGCCTCAAACCCAGCAGTAAGTTGGAGGGGTGAGGTGTCTACACTAAGCATGTGAAGACTTCCACCAGTGGATTGGGCAGATAACAATTTGTTCCAACAGCCATGAAGGTGGCTGAGGCAGGTGCTGTGGGATGCTGAGAGCTTGGTCAGACATCAAAGATGCCAAGGTTATCCACTGCATCCGGGCCATCACCAGTCATCCTGACTTTTGTCTTGCCACTGGGTTTTAATGACTCTGGAAGAGACAGTGAGGTTGATGACTTTGTGAAACTCTGCCTCACTTTAAATCCAATTATTCATGAGTCACAGGATCACCAGTGATGTCACTGGTTCTCTTTGAAAACAAATGACAAATAACAACACCAAGGAATCCAATATCAATCAGTCAACAGCATTTATTAAACACCTACTATTGCCAGAAACTGTGCTATGTGCTAGGAATATGAAGAATGGTGAAAACAATCTTTGCCTTCAAAGAGCTCCCATTCTAATGGAGAAGACAACATGCAAATAACTGTGTACAAACAAGACATAGCCAGGTTATTGGAGATAATCAACAGAGGAAAGGCACTAGTGTGAAGAGGGACTGGGAAAGGCTTTTTGCAGAAGGTGGGATTTCAGTTGAGACTTGAAGGAAGCTGGGGAAGCCAAAAGGCAGAGATGAGGATTAAGAGAATTCCACGCATGAGGAACAGCTGGGCAAAGCTACCTAAGTCTCCCCTGGGCTTGTGGTGATAACATATTGTAGAAAACCTCCTACTCAAATTCTGGAACTATTCAGCAGCTCCAAAAGGTGCGTGAACCAGGGCTTCAGGACCACCTCATTCTGCATCATTTCCAAAGCTGGAATCCCTTCTCATGGAGCCAAAAACCTTTGTTGAAGACTACACGAGCCCTTCCTATACATACTCCCAAATGTTTACCAATTGAAGAACCCACCATTTCCTGAAAGTAGTGTGTCTAATTAGCACTTTGTTGATCTGGATTTTAACAGAGCTCACACAAAAGATGTTTTGTCACTATTGAAAAAAGCTATTAAGCTTTTTATGGTATGATCATTTTTTTTTGTTTGCAACCTATTTCCTGACTTCAGGCTTTATGTTAGGGTTGGGCTCTGTCACCTTCTAGAAGGAATGGCTGGGCTGAGCTTGGGTCCTCAGAGCCTGCTGCTGATTTCTTGAGGTAATAAATATTGTATTACTCCAAGATCTCAAGGCTAGCTCAGTTTAGGGATCTACAGCTTTCAGTGTTCCCAGAATAGTCTGATCTGGGGCAAAGTCTGATCACTGCCTTCCTTGTATGAGCTCTGCAAGTTCTTAACCTAGGTTTAGATCTGAGCAATATGCCTATGACCTTTCTCTTGGCTGTAGTCCTAGTAGGCTGCTGCTGGAATCAGGCATTATCAGTCAACTGGAAAGATCTAGAGGGTCAGAATGACAACTATAGGCTCCCCTTTGGTCTGGGTTCCCTGCCCTATTATTCCTCTATAGGCTTCAGATTGCACTAGGGGCTATAACTGAGACTCTGTCCCATCCCTATGATCAGAAACACATAAATACTCATTGCTTTTGAACTTGCTCTTCGCTCAATAAAAAACAATCCTGTGAGGCACTTACTGTAGGTATTATTATCCCCACTTTACAGATAGGAATAGTAACAGTCTCAGAGAAGTTAATGGACTTGCTTAGGATCTCACAGTTAACAAATGTTGGAGGCTTGACTTGAGCCCAGGTCTAGGCCTTGAGCCTTAGCTCTAGGCACTCATTCTAATACCCCACACTGTTGTCACTTGTGAAAAGAAAGAAAAAGGAAGTATGGAAAGACATTATGGAGATACATGTAAGACTGGAAAGGAGAGATGACAAGTGGACCATTTGACTTGATCATTTACAAATGGTGGGATCAGGAAAGCTTTCACAGAGGATAGACACCTGATATGAACCTTCAAGGAAGAGAAGAATTTCAATTCGGGAGGAGGGAGAATTGTTCATTCTATGCATTGATGAGCAAATGTGCAGAGCCAGTATAGCATGGGCCAAGAGCAAAGTTAAATGTAAGGAAAAATCAAGGGGGCAGGACAGAGCATAGAAGGTGAAAAAAAAAAAAAATATATATATATATATATATAAAACCAACAGAGGGCCTATAGATTGGAAGAGAAAGACCAAGTCAACAGGCAGCTACTTTTGCTATGGTTTAGGGTTAGGCAATCAATGAAGACTTGCCATTGCCCAGTCTGGATTTAAAAGTCTCCTAGAATGCCTAAAGCTCCTTCCATAAGGGGTCTCCATGGTAAGGCAGGGTTACTTTGGTTGAACACCCAAACCTTGGGACAACCCTTGATGCTCCCAGCTGGAGATAGTCTTATTAGCCCTTACTAAATATAATGAAGTATATAATACCTTAAATGGGAGAATAATCATGGGGTACCACTCTTGGTTTCTCTTTCTCCTTGAAGTTTAGATTCAAGACCTCCCTGGGTGGCCAGAAATGAATTAGGTATGGCAAATGCCTAGGAAAATCTCTGCTAATTATTTATCAGTCTCCAAGCACAGTGATTTACAAAAAGGGGTCTAGAACTCACTGAAGGACTTTTTCAAGGGCAAATCAAAGTCATTTCCTCAGGAAACTGCCATGGCAATATTTTGCATGTGGTGGTAGAGAGGTTCCATGGTAGATCTTGTCTGTTTCATCTTCATGTACCCTGCAGGAGCAATCCAAAAATAGCCATTCCTTAGATATTACCCCCCAGTGCAGTGAGAGAAAGAAGGCCAAGACCCTAACTACTAGTCACTATTCAGTGTTAAAGAGCTAAAGTCCTACCTTGTTTCCAGTAAACCTCCTTCCCTCTAAAAATCAAAAGCCCATAATTAAAGGGCTGAAAGGGTGAAGGGAACAGGGGATAAAAGTAAACCTAACCTGCAAATGACTCAAGTTCAAAGAGAAGGCCAAAAAAAAAAAAGAAAAGAAAAAAGAAAAAAAGAGAGATCCCTGATAGGTACAGGGTTCATGAATAACCTGCCACTGTCTGAGCAGGGGAGAAATCCAAGCTCTCAGTTGGTGGGAAAATTGCCAGGAGCCATCAAGTCAGATTGCCCTCCAGAGGACTGACAAGAAGAGGGCTAAGGAAAGTAGATAGGAAATGTGTATGATGAGTGCCTGCAACACAGATCATCATGGCAAGACCTACTTTACAAACTTCGAAATCCAACCAAAATGTGTTCTTATTCTTACAGAAACAGAAATATCTCTAATAATGGTCATTCTTTCTCTTCCTCCTATCCACATTGACCAAAAGAATAGGAACATTTATTCATAGGAAAAATTGCAACCATCACTCACCAGGGAAGAGGTCCTGTTCTAGATTGGTGAATCAGGGTGCTTAGGATCAGATTGGTCCTCTTTCCACAAATTGCTACTTACATGACATAATTTGAGCAACTGAAGTTCTCATAACTACATTTCTAGTTCATTGTAAAGGCGAGAAATGCCAAACTCATAATCTTGTTGTCCTGTTTATGATTCCTACACTGCAGGACCAATGCATTTAGAAAATAAACACAGCCTTTTAAAAGGTGCTATGCCTATGTAAGCCTGAAAAGGAGAAGGCACTGGAAGAGAAGAAAGCCTCAAATTGCTCTACCTGGTCTCAAGGGGCAGAACTAGGGACAATGAGTGGAAACTGCAAAGAGGAAAATTCAGGTTTGATGTCAGGAAATATCTCCTTAAAACTTAGAGCCGCCTCAAGAAGTCATAGGAGCATAGAGGTTTTTTTGTTTGTTTGTTTTCTGGGTTGTTTTTTTTTATGTGAGGCAATTGAGACTAAGTGACTTGCCCTGTGTTTGAGGCCGGATTTGAACTCAAGTCTCCAGCGCCAGAGCTCTATCCATGAGCACAGGTTTTTTAAAAAGCATTTATTAAGAACCTACTATGCACTAGGCACTGTGCCAACTACATCTCATTTAATCCTCACAACAATTCCTGAGAAGTAGGTATTATCATTATGCCTACTTTACAGTTGAGGAAACTGAGGAAGACTGTTTAAGTAACTTCCCCAGGATTACACTTGCAATAAGTGACAGAGCTGAGATTTGAATCCAGGAACTTGTTCCAAGTCCAATTCTCTTTCAATAAAGCAATCAATACATAGTTATTAAGCACCTACTGTGTACTGAGTTCTATGCTAGGTGCTGAGGATAAAAAGACAGATATGAAAGTGTCTGCCCTCAAGGAACTTACAGTTTCTGCACAGTGTCTAGTGCACAGTAGGCTCTTAATAAATGCTTTTTTGAAAATCCATGTTCTTATGACCTCTTGAGGTATCTCTAGGTTTAAGGAGATATTTCCCGACATCAAACCTAACTTTTCCTCTCTGCAATTTCCACTCACTGCTCCTAGTTCTGCCTCCTGGGGCCAGGCAGAACAATTTGAGGCTTTCTTACATCAGAAGAGACAAAACATATATAAATAGGTATAAAATATAGACACATTAAATACAGGGTAGCATTAGAAGAGAAGGCACTGGGACATGGGCAGATGAAGGACAGCTTCAAGTAGGAGACAGTGCTTAAGCAGAGTCTTAAAGGAAACCCAGGATACCAAGAGGTCGAGGTGAGGAGGAACAAATTCCAGGCACAGGAGATGGTGACTAGCATTGACAGGGGAAGCAACTACAACGACAAAATCGAACACATACTGAAGTTATTGCTGCCAAAGCACACTAAATATACTTGTATTACTGCCTCAGTGTACTTATGGAGCTTGAGTAATAAAAGTATTGGTAAAGCACAACTTTGCAACCTTATCTTGGATGATTCTCCAAACTGCACCCTCTACTCTAGCTAGACTAGTCTACTAACTCTTTCCTGTAAAGACCGTGGGCACCCCCGTCTTCTTCTCCTCGCTCGTATCAGTTCATTTGCCTGCAGTCACAGATCTAACTGGGCAGTGACCAGGTTTTGAATCAGAGCAGTGAATTTAGAGGACATAGACTACACATGAGTGCTCCAGTAGCTTAGTTAGACAAAGTAAATAGGTTATTTTAGAAGCTGTTAGATGACAAAGTAGGGTTAGCTACTTTTCCTCCATGACCTGCTTCTCTCTCTGCTGGATACCAATTATCTGTTCAAATGAGAAATAGCATGAAAATAAACAATCCGGGTTGGGGGGAAAGGGCTTGGATGGCAGTGTGGGAAAAGCACTCACAGTCCACTTTCTGGCCTCCTGGTCCTACAATCTTCTTTCTTGAAGTGGATCTATTCCTTTCTAGTGTATCTAGGATTCTTTTTGCTGGCCTCTGTTGCCTGATAAATTGGCTTTGGTTCTTCGGCCTCCTGGGGCTGCAGGCTTTTTTATTTCCATTTTGAAATGTGAGTGAACTACACAGAAAATACAACATAGGGAACAGAAGGAGTGGAGCCTGAGGGCCAAATCCCACTTTATTACATCAAGTATAGGGAAAGATATGATTATTCCAGAGTGACATTAAGCAGCCCAGAATCCTAAGCTCTATGAAGTCATTTATATAACATCATTTAGGTGCTTTATCCAGAGCATCATTTGCTCCACCCCCTCCCCATTTGTGTTGAGCTCATGCTATAAATAAATGTTTATGAGAATCTGTATGAGAGAAATGAAAACTCCAGTTCTGCATACACTCATTTGGATAGGGAGGGCAGCACACTGATGGGATCACCACTTACTTTTGGACTCTTGAGTGAATCTCTAAGGTCACATCAGACAACCTAAGTACATTCAAGGAGCTCAGCCTTACTCTAAGAGAAATGGGGGAAAAGAGAGGATAGAGTAGGCAAGGCCTGATGGAAAGCATATGGTGAAAAGAGGGATAGACTTTGGCCATTTCAAGAATACTGTACTGGAAAGAAGTATGAAGGTTTAAGAAAAAAATTAGTTTATGCAAAAAAAAAATTCTAAAACAGTTTTAAGACAAGGCTTTGAGATTTTTTTCTTTTACTTTTTCTTTTTTTTTCTTTTTTTTTTTACTTTTGAGGCATTTGGGGTTAAGTGACTTGCCCAGGGTCACACAGCTAGTACATGTCAAGTGTTTGATCTGAGACTGACTTTGAACTCAGGTTCTCCTGACTTCAGGGCCGGTGTTTTATCCACCGCACCATCTAGCAGCCCCATTATTTTTTTTTCTTACGAAATGGATTCACTTCAGAGTTTCTTTTCCAGTGTGTTAAGAAAAAAGGATTGATTTATACTGAACTCTTTAGAAATATAATCTGATCTTACTCTACCTCTTCAGCTTTGTCTCATACAGTTCCTGTCTATGTACTATACACTGAGCCCAAATGGACTACCCACCATCCACAATACATGCCCCATACTTAATCACCTCGATGCCTTTTCTCACAGTGTTTCCTATATGTGGAATATCCTCTCTATCACCTCTCACTCCCCTATCCCTACCACTACAGTTTCTTAACTACCTATTGAATTTCCTCCCATGCTTCAAAACCCAAATGAAATGCTTTCCTCAGGAAGCATTCCCCAATCTTTCCAGAGACTAATGACCTTCCTCTGTGCCTCCTAAAGCATCTTGTTTGTTTTCTTTCACCTATTTATTATGAGTTATGTTTTATTATAGCTATCTGTTCATGTGTCATGTTCCCCTTATTATCATCAAGCAATAAGCATTTATTAAGTACTTTCTATATGACAAGTATGATGCTAGGCACTAACAATCCAAAGACAAAAGTGTCCTCCTTTGTCCTCAAAGAGCTTACATTCAATCAGAGAAAACAACATACAGACATATAAAGTAATCACGAAATATACATATATGTGTGTGTGTATCTTATGTTACATTATTTTAAATCACATCATTTTATATCATATTGTATTTGATTTCTATAGGTAATTTCAGGGGCTGGCTCTAGGAGGGGAGGTCAAGAAATCAGAAGAAATATCATGTAGAAGAAAGCACCTGTGCTAAGCTGAGCTCTGAAGGAAGCTAAAACTTCTAAGAAGCAGAGGTGAGGAGACATTTCCCAGGCATGGAAAATGATGTGGATATAGAAGGTAGATTGTCATGTGTGAGGAACAATAAGATGGACAGTAGGTTATGGAGTATATGAAGGAGAATAAAATATAAGGTTGGAAAATAATTTAGCACCAGGTGGTGAGCTTTAAATGCCAAACAGAGGGGTTTGTATTTGACCTTAGACACAAAATTGAAACATCAGGAGCCAGGAGTGATATGATTAAACCTATATTTTAGGAATATCACTGTGACAGCTGTGTGGAGAGTAGACTGGAAAGGGAGATTTGACTCAGAGAGAATAATCAGCAGGCTGTTGCAATAGACCAGGAGAGAGGTGATTAGGGTCTTAACTTGGGTGGGCTAGGTGAATAGAGAGAAAGGGTCAAATCAAATATATGTTATCGAGATAGAAACCATGAGACTTGGCAAACTGATTAGGTAAGTGGGGAGAGGAAGAGGGAGAAAGTGATGATTCCAAGATTGGTAACCTGGTGACTGGAAGAATGGTGGTGTCCCCAACAGAAAGGAAAAGATGATGAGTTCTATTTTGGATAGGCTGAGTTTCAGTTGCCTACTAAATTATGTATTCCATGAGGGTAGAGACCGTCTCTTACCTAAACTTTGTATGTCCTATAGCACCTAATACAATGATCTGCACATAGAAGGCTTTTAATAAATGTTTGGCAAATTGTTATTGAATATATTTATTACAAAGGATATGCCAGTATGAATTTATGGGAGAATGTTAGGTGGATACCTATGTACTTATACATTATAATAGCTAACATATATGACTCTTTAAGGTTTGCAAAATGCTTATTATCTTACTTCATCCTCACAAAAATTCTTTGAGATAGATACTATTTATCATCTCCATTTTATAGATTGGTGAACTACAGCTAGCTAGTAAGGATCTGAGAGAGAATTCAAACTCAAGTCTTCCTGTCACCAAGTCCAGTGTTCTATCTACTGCACCAAGCTGCCTCTCATGAGTGAGAGACAACAGCATGGTGAGTGGAAAGCTAGCTTTGGTGTTAGGAAAACCTGGGTTCAAATCGTGCCTTTACACTAGATGTGTGATTGTGGACAAGTCTTGAGACCTTCCACTCTCCCATAGTAATTCCCTAAAACTAAAAGTTACAAATATATTATGCATCCATGGAGAGGGTTGCGGAAGTGAAATCACAAATCTGGACAGGAGAGGAAAGGAGAGCAGGGGAGGGGAGGGGAGACGAGAGGAAACATATACCCTTCCACCATATAATCTAAAAAGGTAGTATCATCTAAAAATTTCAGTACTAATCTTGAAATACTGATATGAGGATGTTAGTTTCAATCACTTTCATAGACTGGCTTTTTTGGTGTTGAGGAAGTCACATAACTTCCCTGCATCTCCATTCTCTGTTTTACAAAGAAGAAAAAATAAGAATCTCGGGGCTCATAAAGGCCTCTTGATGAGGTCACCTACTCCATCCCCTTTCTGCAGGCAGGACCATTTCTCTAGCAGCTGAAATAAATTGTTTTCTATTCCATTAAAGACTTTCCGAGACAGCTATCTCACCACATCCCCAAGTACCTCATTCTAGGCAGAAAGTCCTTCCACATAGCTCATGCACAGATCTCTTAATTTCCCCAGAGCCAGTTTCTATGATCCTTCCTTAGTGGGAAATAATCCTGGAACACCTAATTCTTTTCCTATCTCACTGAGATACTGTGAGAGCAAATTAGATACTGTCTATGAAATGATTTCAGCTCCTGAGGCCACAAGCTGCACATAAATACAGAATATCATTTTTTATTAAAGGAGCTAGTGTTATAGAAGGTTCTTTGCACATTGAATTGTTATAGAAACAGGACAAAAAAAAGAAAAACAACATAGTTCCACACACTATCTAAAGTTCATGTTCTGTATATGTAAAGACCTCAAGAGAAAAAAAAAAGGTTTGTGAACTAACAAAAGAAGGATTTGTTATCTGGGAACAGACCTCTGGAGAATCACTACCATTATTTGAGCTAGTCTTATTCTTTTGGAGAGTTGATCAAAAAGTAATTTTGTAGGGTAAAGGCACCCATGGATTTCTATTTCTGGGAAAAAACTAGGCCTGACAGGTATCATGTCCCCTAGTTAGCATTCCAAGCCACACTGCCGAAGGTAATAGATGGCAACAGCAACAAACAAAGCTAGGTAGGGACAACCAAAGACAGATTTATCTAGTGTGTGTTGCCTGGGTCCTACCATCCATCAGACCAGCTCTCTTACATCCCAGGCTGAGCCCCCCCAGATTCAAAATTAAGTTCAAATCTGCTGGCCCCATAGCCAGAGAGCACAGTCTGCTATTCCAAATGTGCTCAGTTGGGGCAGCTAGGTGGCGTAGTGGATAGAGCACCGGCCCTGAAGTCAGGAGAACCTGAGTTCAAAGCCAGTTTCAGACCAAACATTTGATATTTACTAGCTGTGTGACCCTGGGCAAGTCACTTAACCCCAATTGCCTAAAATAACAAACAAACCAAATGTGCTTAGTTCACACTGACCACTTCCAGAAAATAGACTTTCAAAGCATCAGTCTCAGTTTTCACCATGGAAGGAGAAGCTGGTATGGCCTTGGATTTCATTTCCCAAGAAGAGAAAAGAGGATTTTGTTTGGTGTTCTTTTCTTCTTCCTTTTCCCTAGATGATTATAGTATGCAAACCAGTGTCATAATTGTAGAAAATGTATCCTTTTTTACCTTTTCTTTCCCAATGAGCAGTATTGTCAGATACTGTCTGAACCTGGTATCAATGGGTAGGACCTGCTTGGATATAAGTGAAGTGGTGTGCCCTGGTCCCCAAGGGCAACTTCTGTGAAGATAATGGTCAGCAGAGAAGAAACTCCAGAAATGAGATGCCTTGTCTGGTCCTATGGTAAAGGAATCATGTAGGGAGAATTGCCTCTCTTGCCAAGACAAGGAAATTAATAATAACAGTAGCCAAAAGTTACATAGTGATCGCCATGTGCCAGGCACTGTGCTAAATGCTTTACAATTATTATCTTATTGGATCCTCACAACAACCCTGAGAGGTAGGTGCTAGTATTGTCCCTATTTTACAATAATTATAATAAAATAATAGTAATAATAATAATAGCTAACATTTATATTGCACTTAATAGTGCCAGGCATTGTGCTTAGCACTTTACAATTATTATCTCATTTGGTCCGCATAACAACCCTGGAACTTAGGTATAATTATTATTCTCATTTTATAATAACTATCTTATATTTTAATATACAATAATTATATTTAATATAATTTTGTATATTATATAAATATGCTATTTATATAATATATAAATATAATGTTTACATGTGATATTATATATTATTCTAATATTTACTATATGATAAATATAATATATTTTATAATATAATAACCACTTTATAATAACTCTTTGCCAGGCACTATGCTAAGTGCTTTACAATTATTATCTCAATTGATTCTCATAACAACTTTGGAAAGCAGGTGCTACATTATTCCTATTTTATAAATAGGAAACTGAGGCAAACAGAGGCTATGTGACTTGCCCAGGTTCACATAGCTAATAAGTGCTTAGCACAGTGCCTGGCACATAGTAGGTGCTTAATAAATGTTTACTGATGTATCTGAGACCATATCTGAACTCAAATCTTCCTGACACCAGGCCTGGTGCTCTATCCACTTTACCACCTAGCTGGAGTATTCCTCTTATAAGTGTTACTATGGTCTCGATGATAGAGAAGAGTTTTCCCTGGCAAAGGTCATGGGTCTCCTAAAGCAAAGATGTCAAACACATTCCAAGTAGCCCAATTAGATTACAATGTCACTGGGAAATATCTAAAAATTAAGCATAAAATAATAATTAACATTAATAAAATTTACAAAACTACAATAGAACATAAATAATGAGAATGTGTGGTTTTCTAAGTCAATATGTGGCAGAGGCAATTCTTATGTAAGGTTAGTGGTCCCTGTTTCTATTTGAGCTGGACACCCCTGTCCTAAATTACCTTCATTCAGAATGGCTATGAGAAGCCCCATGAGAATGAAGACCACTGCCACCTGTTGGAATCTGTGCAAAACTACAGGAAGGCCCACCTTTTGGGAAACTAAGATGGCGCCTGCTGGGAGCCTTACCTAAGTGAAAGTGGCTGCTTATTGGGAGCTATCTTTATTTTTTCATGAGATATACTGTAAATTCTACCTTGTTTTCTTCAAAGTGTTAATACTTTCCTTCTTTGAATTTTGTGAACTGTGTGCTGGTAAGGAACATTAACGATGACCCACCAGAGGTTGTCACATAGCAAATTTCACAGAGCTTCTGGGTGGAGGTAGCCTGGAAGGTGAGAAATCCTAGAATGATATACCCTGTTTCATTAAAAGGCAGCATTGAACAGTGAGGAAAGCACTGGTATTTAGAATCAGAGGACACTAGGTTTGAATCCCAGGTCTGCCAATTTCTGTCACCAACTACATGAGTTTGGACAAGTCTTTGAGTGTCAGTTTTATCATCTGTAAAAGGCAGGTATTGAATTAGATCAATAGACTAGATCAATTAGAAAACCACAAATTAACACTATATGTTGCCTTGCAATTTTTTAAAATTTTGTTAATCATTTCCCAATTATATTTTAATGTGGTTTGGCAGCACTGCGACTTTGACATCTCTGTACTAGATAACCTTTAAGGTTATGATTTGCCTTAAACTTAAGTGAAAACCTCTGACACAAAAGTTACGTAGACAATACTGATATCCAATAAAAATGCATATCTTATTCCATTACATATACTCTTGGGGATGGTCCAAATTCTATAATTAAACTATTATTTTGTTCTACTAAATATTACTTGAAAAAGTTAAGGCCCCTTCTAGTTCAACTAAGTTAGGAAATTTTGTAAGTGGGTCAGAGCCTGAGTTGAATATTTTTCTACACACAGATTCTTATCATAGTATCTGCTTAATTGAGCTTTGGTTTATAGGTTAGTCAATCAATCAACAAGCATATAATAAATGCCTACTGTGTGCCAGGCACTGGAAATATAAATATAAAAGATAGTCCTCAAAGGATTTATGTTCTACTGAGCAGATACAACATGTTCACAGACAAACAAATACGAAGTTTACAAAATAAATACAAAATGATTAGGGAGGGAGCCCTAACAAGAGGAAATCTAGAAATCTCTTTTGAAAGAGATGACACTTTAATTAATGGATAAGAATCATTCTTTCCTAGGTGACTAAATGGTTGAGCCCTTACTTCAAGTCAAAACTCTGCCTGCTTTCAAATTCTTCTCTAATCTGGCAATACTCTATATCTAGTCAACCCTGAAGTTTTTTCCACTGAAGGGAAACCTCCTTGAAGTGAGGGTAGAGGAGTGAACTAAGATCTATAATCTAAGGTTTGTTTTATTTTTACCCCTCTGACAGGTGGCATAGTGCTGGGCTTGGAGACAGGAAGTCCTGAGTTCAAATATAGCCTCAGATATCTATTAGCTATGTGACCCTGGGCAAGTCACTTAACTTCTCTTTGCCTTGGTTTCCTCAACTGAAAGTTGGTGATAGTAATACTACATAGCTCCCAGGCTTGTTGTGAGAATCAAGTGAGATCATATTTGTAAAACACTTAGGAAAGTGCTTGACATATAGTAGAAGCTATATAAATATGTATTTCCTTCCTTCCACTGACCTCTTAGTTCACCAAGTCTCCTCTTTGCCACTAACTGCCCTTGGACAAGTTAGTCAACCTCTCTAAGGTTCAATTTCTTCATCTTTTAAATGAGGAGGCTGGACTAAATGGGTATTTTCCAACAATTTAGATATTTTAAACAGTCTGTAGTATAACTTGGGTTGACAAGCAGTGATGCAAATGCTCACTAATATCCTTTCCGGCTCTAAAATGCTATGGTTTTATTCTATGAGTCAATGAAACCAGGACCAGGATTCCATAAATCTCTCTTCCTCTTCAGCTCTTTCTTTGCTTCGGCAGCACTCTCATTCTTTCTAGCCAATATCCTTTGGATGAAGAAAACCTGAATAATCTCATTTGGGCAAGGCCAGGTTTATCTCTACATGTGGAGACAGAGAGAATATGAAGGGGGAGGGAGGTGGAGACAAGGGAGACAGGAAGAGAAAAGGAAAGGGAAGGGAAGAAAAGGGAGAAGAGTAAACAGAAGAGGAAGAGAAGGAGCAAGATGGAGCAGAGAGGAGGGGGAGGAAGGGAAAGAGGAGAAACATTTCAAATGTAAGGTAGTGGATCCCCAAGTCGCACCTAAGGTAAATTTATGCACAGCCTAAAGTAATTCGGCAAGCAATATAGCCATTGTAACTGTCTTTACGCTCTCCAGATCCAACTGAATGGTACATTTGGACTGTGCACAGCCTAAATGAATACCAAAAAAAGGTAGGGGTAGTCATCTGTGCAAAATTACAGCTGCAAAAATGATCCTAGGAAATGTTCAATATCTGGCCTTCCCAATAGCCAAAGGCGGTTGTAAAGCAATTCTACCCTGCTCATTTATAAAAATTGTATAACCAAAAAAAAAAAAAAAAAGACTTGGGTGTCTGCTGTAAATCACCAAGTTCTGCTTTGTGACCTCATGAATGCATATGTTGGAAGATGCTTAAGCATCATTTCTTGCTGCACTGTATTGTGAATCCTACCTACCCCCATGAAAAAGCAGTTCTCTACTCTTGCTACTCTAGGTTGGCTCCCAGAGGACAACTGGCCAACCAGAGTTTGCCCCGATGATGTAATGCTTTCAACCTGGTGTTTCATTGGTTGAGGTAGTTGTTACTTGATCAGTCAAAGCATTTCAGGGCTGACATTCTATGGGAAGAAAAGCATTTTGTTCCCTAATGTGCAACTCAGCTGAGGTCTGATCAAACCCAAGTAGCTAGGCTCTCTATTGCCTCCAGCTTCTGAAATTACATTCACAGTTTATGGTTGTTCAAGCTTTGGTGGATTCTACTTTAATTAATCTAAAAGCCCTGCTGTAAGTACTGCACTGCCTTACCCTAAGTACTTTACAGACTTTAATCTTCTCCACATCCCCCTGACTATCTTGGAAAGATATCATCAGCATTATCCCTAGTTTATCCATATAGATAGTGAAACCCAAGTAGGGGAATTGCCTTGCTTGCTTGAACTAAGTCTAGATACCAAAGCATTTACACCTCAGATTCAGAAACCAAATGAAATATTAGGCTTAAAAAATTTAACTCTGAGTCTACAGATATCTTAGTTTTCTACATTGTGAAATCAGCCCTACCCAAATATGCACATATCAAAATTTCATCTTCTCTGGTTAACTAAAATCACAGATTTAGAACTGGAAGGGACCTTAGCCATCACATAGTCCAATGCCTTCACTTTACAGATGAAAATACTGAGATCCAGAGAAATGACTTACCCAAAGTCACACAAGAAGTAAAAGAGATAATAATTAAACCTGGATCATAAGATTATAAATTTAAAGCTGAAAAGTACATTGGAGTTCATACAATCCAGCCCCTTCATTTTACAAATAAGGAAACTGAGTCCCAGAGATATGAAATGAATCAAAGTCACAAAGCTAGTAAATGACAGAGTCAAAATTTTAACTCAGAGCAAATCTAGGAATCAGGAGCAAATTTCCACTTCTCTGATTTGAAACCTACTCTTTTTATTATATCATACTTCTGAGCTACATTTCCTGTAGGCAACATTCCACATAAAAGACAATTATTTTATTTTCCCAAACAGCGGCTCTAGATCAGCATTCCTAACCTGAAATCTAGGTACTTGTCTTTTTAAATTAAAAAAAAAGTATTTTGATAACCGTATTTCAATAAAACTGGTTTCCTTTGTAATCCTACATATCTTATTTTCTACATTTAAGGCATAATTCTGAGAAGGGGACTATAGGCTTTAGCAGTCTCCCAAAGGGGTCCATGACACACAAAGGGTTAAGAACCCCTGTTATAGATACTTTCAGTTTGACTTTCTCCCCTTCCCACAATTCAGTTTAACTTAATAAACCTGCCCTGGGCGAGTCCAAGAAGGTACAAAAAGAAAGTGAAAGACAGCAGCTGCCCTCAAAGAGCTTACCATTCACTGGATAGTACACCATTACGCAGCAGAGCTGGCCTTTGCCAGTAATGGATACTTCTGGCACAGTCTCCATTTGCCCATAGGTCTTAGTCACTTGGATGCAGACTGTGTCATTCAGGCAGTGTGTTCTCTGGTTGCATCGGGTTGTTTGCTTCATACCTAAGAGACACCAGATGTTGATCTCCTGGGAAAGACAGAGGTGAGAAGGCTCCTAGCACCAAACACAGAGCTATAGGAGGGGACCAAGATGGAAAGAAAGCAGGAGATATATGGATGTGGAGTCAGGAACATTCCTTGGGTTTCATCTCCTTCACATCAGAGCTAGGTCAGGACCTCCCTACCATATTTTGTCCTAGGGCATGCTGGTGCCAGCAGTTTCTGATATTGAAGTAGTAGCACCTTTGGCACAGTGAAACTTCACAAGGTCCATGTTGAGAGATAATGCTGGAAGTTTCTAACATTTCCATTCTAATGCTGCAGCATCCTGGAACTTTACTATAACCATGCCGAGAAACAACATAATCCTAGGCATTGAGATTTCAGCTGCTGAGTATGACATCAATACCCTTTCTGTTTCTTACCTTGTAGCATTATGCTAATGAGGCATTGGAGGGAGTGAAGACAGTGGAGAGCCTCCTTCTACAGGGACTAACGACAATTTAGGGAAACAGGTGATGGAAAATCTGTTTAATTTCTTATTCTTTATCTTGAATTCTACTGTAAGTATATGTAATTTTTGCCTTAGATATTCCAATGAAACATGATTTGTTGTGGCCAATGCGGAAGAGATATCCTGTAGGAAAATGAAGGTCTCTGGGTTATATAGCTTTTAATAGATAGTAGATCCCAACAGGTTCTAGGAACCTGAATGTGGCAATAGGGACCACAAGCAAATACAAGATAATTTTAGGATGAAGAAAGCATTAACACCCAGAGCCAGGTAGCACCATTTGGAGAGAAGGGCTAAGGCTTAGCATGACTTGCCAGGGCTTCAAAGCAAATTAACAGGATGGGTTTAAGTGCAGTGTGTCACATAAGAGAGGGGAGCTTGGTTTGGAGTGCCAGAGAAGAGAACAAGATAGTAAGATTAGTTTGTCTGAGGAATGATACATGGTTGAGGCAAAACCCAATGATGAATGAATAGTGCTTTTCCAGGAGAATTAACTCAAAGTTCTCACACACAAAAACTTTTCCCCCAAGCACCCTCGGGTGGAGAAGCCCTGCCAACACAGTTTCCATACTCCCTACAAAGGTCATGTTTTGAAGAGGCCATTTTTCATTAAAAACCCTGCTCAACAAGATTGAACTACCCAAAAGGGTTGGGTATTCAGGCATTGGTCCAGAGGCCCAAAGGTTTTAGATAATATACTGTACTTGTTTTAGATAAAGGCAGAATGGCATATGTTCCATCTACTCAATGCCCTCTTGTAACATTATTCAGAATATTCCCAAACTCCAGAAATCAGGGGCAGCTAGATAGCACAGTGGATAGAGCACTGGCCCTGGAGTCAGGAGGACCTGAGTTCAAATCCAGCCTCAGACACATAATACTTCCTAGCTGTGTGACCCTGGGCAAGTCACTTAACCCCAATTGCCTCACTTTAAAAAAAAAACAAACTCCAGAAATCTATGACAGCCCTCCCATAACCTCTGGAATCATAGGAATCAGCTTCACCTACAGAGAAAAATCATTTCATGAGGGGCCTCAGCCATGTTCACTCCTAGCTTAACTCACTTCACTTCCAAGCCAGTAGCCAAGTCCTCCTGTCCACTCCCTACTTCCATGGATACCTTCTTCTCTCTTCTCTTTTCCAGTTTGCCTTATGGGTTGGCTTCCTCAGTTCAAATATAATTCCTTGAGAGCCCGGACTGTATTGTTCACTTGTATTTATATCTCTAGCACTTGGCACAGCACCTGACACATCACAAGCAACCAGGCTTAGTAGGGACAAGGGACAAAGCCATTGAACTGGGTCTAAAAATGGAATTCATGGCCAGGGCAACTAAGCAAACCAACTGCAGGCATCGGGAGTGCAAAAGTGACCATGTAACCACATGTCTGGACTATTGCAATAGCCTTCTGGCTGGTTTCTCTGCCTCAGGCCTCTCTCTGCTCCAAACCATCCTCTACTCAGCTGCTAAAGTTTTCTTCATAAAACTCAGATCTCACCATGTCACACCCTTTTCAATAAACTCCAGTAGTTTCCTGGCATAAAATCCTCTATTTGGAATTAAAGGCCCTTCATAACCTGGTTCCTTCCTACCTTTCCAGTCACCATGAACTTTACTCCCCTCTACATATTCTACAATTCAACAACATTGGCTATTTCTCCAACATGACGCTCCATCTCACAATTCTGGGCATTTGTCCTGGCATTCTCCATGCATGGAATGCTCTGTGCGACACACACACACACACACACACACACACACACACACACACACCTCTTGGCTTCCTTGGCCGTCTTCAAGACTCAGCTCAAATTCTATCTTCCACCCCACCCACCCCAGTGCCTTTCCTTTGAGATTACCTCACATTTACACTGTACATATCTTGTGTGTACATAGTTATTTGCATCTTGTCTTCTCTATTGGAATGTGAGCTCTTTGAAGGCAGACACTTATTTTGTATTCCTAGGACTTAGAACAGTACTAGCACATAGTAAGCACTTAATAAACTCATACTGACTGATTGAATGACCATATTTGCATATGATACCCTAGACTAACGAACAAAGAAGTCCTGGATATAGTCAACCAATCCCAATCGGTAGCGCATATAAAAATGTACTTTTAGTAAAACCCAAATGTCGCGGCAGCTAGGTGGTATAGTGAATAGAGCACCAGCCCTGAAGTCAGGAGAACCTGAGTTCAAATCCCGTCTCAGACCAAACACTTGACACTTACTAACTGTGTGACCCTTGGCAAGTCACTTAATCCCAACTGCCTAAAAACAAAAACAAACAAAAACAAACAAAAAAACCCCCAAATGTCATTATATGGACTCCATACCTGTGCTTGACCTATATATTTGGTAATAAACAACACCGATATGTGATGTATTCTATCTTGGCACACATCCTAAGTATTTGGTTTACTGTATGTAGCTTTAATGTGGATGGTATGTGCTATAGTATTATACAATTGTACAGGGATTGTATCTGTAATAATTTAACTAGGAAGAGAATGTAGCTGGTGGCTCCTTGGGTGCCCTGTGGACAGCTCCCTATCCCTCCTTTTATCAGTGAGGGAGAGAGGTTCATTGCACGTTTGGAGAGCACAGCAAAGGGTGTTTTTTACTCAAGGTGACTAAGGAGACAAGTTCTGATCCCTCCCTCATCTCAGTGAAATGTCTGGGGATGAGGTTTTTTTACTCACCAAGAAGATGCGGGAATAATGATCTTATTTGTCAGGGATCATAATCATGACGGCAGACGTGCTAGGCCGACCTGTTTTGAAGACTTGACAGTGACTAGTTTCTGCCATAGAGATGACAAGTGTTGCTGAGAAGGACAAACGTTGCCAAGCTAGAAGTCTACAGCTTCGTGGCAGACAGGGAGTGGCCAGGAAAGCAGCAAACATTAGACAGTAGATACTGACAGGAGCTTTTCCCAAGCACTGGTACCAAAACTGTTCACACTGAAGTTTCCCAGTCCTTCCTCAGGCTACAGAGGGATATTTCCTATACCTGGCCCCAATGGAAGACAAGTATTTTGGAGTATCCTATATCCCAAATTGTTCTTGGGAAAAGAGGATAAAGTTAAACCTATTTGGGAACGTATGCTGACATCATCATTGCTTTACTATTCATTTCTGTGCAAATTAAATATTTTGCTATGTCAACGTTACTCCTTACCTGGATTTGTTAGCATGATGAGCAATTAGACCTGAGATACCAAGTAATTAGTTCCCAATTTCCAAGCTGGGCAAGGGCAGACAAGCCAAGGTAGGCAAGTTACCATTGAAAATTCCCAGGGTAGCTAGGTAGGCAGTGGATAGAGCACGGGCCTTGAAGTCAGGAGTACCTAAGTTCAAATCCAGCCTCAGACCAAACACTTGACACTTACTATGTGACCCTGGGCAAGTCACTTAACCCCAATTGCCTAAAAAAAAAATCCCAATGATTTGAACCCAAATCTGTGAGGATCCAGAGGGAAAGAAACCACATGCTAAATTTTAGGGGATTTGTCTCAGTTGGAGATTGGTGTTTTAGGATAGAGGCTCCCTTCATTAGCACTGCAGGAATCCACTAAAGTTTTGAGAGAGAAGTCAAATCTACAATGATATTTTGGGGCCTAGAATATGTAGCTTTTTTGTGTGTTCAGGGTGCCATCATAGCAACTTATTTAACACAGATACTGCTCACAAACCACACAAGCTTAATTCTAGGAAACATTATAAATTTGTGTTTTGGAGATGAGTAGCTGCTATGCCTACTATTCAGCTATTGGAGTAGTACGTTACTACTCAATTATTGGTCCAGAGGTGATGGAACCCACATATTTCAACCATATTACAACTGAGATCTTCAGCAATCTCCATAGCAGAATTGCCCAAAGGCACCTAAAAGAACTAATTGCTCTCCCTCAGAATTAGTTCTATGGGTCCTACCTCTTTGAAGCCCTGGAAGAGATTAGTTTCCTGGGTAATAGTTAAGAACCCCATTAAATGAAAGGGGACTTTGTACTCCCCTCTAAGCAGCTAGGTTGATACAGTAGATAGAGAACCAGGCCTAGCGTCAGAAAAATCTGAGTTCAAATCCAGCCTCAGACACTTAGTTGTATAATCATGGGCAAGTATCTTTAGCCCAAGAGTAACCATTGCTATAGCACCCACTCTTACACACCCAAACACGTACATACATTTCCTGACCTTAACCTCTGTTTGCCTCAGTTTCCTCATAGAATGGGGATTTTAAAAGCAACTACCTCCTAGGGTTGTTGTAAGGATGGAATAAAATAATAATTGTTAAGCACTTAGGACAGTGCCTGCACACAGGAAGTGTCTTATTAATATTATTCTAGTAGTACTCATCTTGCCAGCTGGAGCTCAGGGAACTATGGGGGGAGGGGAAGGGGAGGAAGGGAGAGAGAGAAGGAGGAGATTGATTTTTTTTTCTATCAATTGACTGGCTGAACATCTGCTTTTTAGAATACAATTACTCCAGCCCAGACAGGAAAGTTGTAAGCCAGCTTTGGAGCAAGGATTAGGGAGGGAGGGAGGGAGAGAAAAGAAGGAAAAAGTGGGAGAAGAATAAAAATCAAGCCAGCAGGTCTGAACTACTCTAAGGGCTATAGTGGCAAAAGTATAACCTTCCTGCCTTAGACTAGCTTTAAATTCAGATTTATATACTCATCAGCAGACTAAGAAAACATGGCCTAGATCAGTGATTCCCAAAGTGGGAGGGGGGAAGAGGTCTGAGGAACAAGGAAAAGGAAGTCATACTTTTTCCCAGGTGCCTGTGGGGCATAGAGAGTTTGTTGTGTGTTTCAAGTAGAGTAGGGAAGTTCAGTGGTCTGTCATCCCTGAAATCTGAATCATCATGGGGTAGTAGAAATAGCACATGATTTGTAGTCAGAAGGTCTAAGCTCAAATTCTGCCCTATTCCTTATTGCCTATGTGATTTTATGCTAGTCACTTAACATCTCTGGCCCTCAGCTCT